CATTTCTTAGTTTTGCCCTGGATTTTGTAGCGTTTGTGGACGCTACGTCGCTACTTGATCAAAATAATAACGTTGCTACAGGAAAGTTACTTGATAAATAAAGCAGCGACGCTACGGTCAAGCTACTGGAAAATGTAGTTAAACTAATAGCTTCGCTACACGTAGCGGCGCTACTGCCCATCACTGTTTATGTGTTGTCTTCTCAATTCAGAGGGCCCCCTGTCTGTCTTTGCCTAGGGCCCCAATTTTCCTAAATCCGCCTCTGGCCATACGGTCTGTCGCTTAGCAACCGTGACAATTTAAACACAAAGCAGGAAAAGAATGAATACCGAACGGTTTCATTTAAAACATTTTTTTTTTATTCTTTTAATTAATTGAACAAAGTCATGAGAATCCAGAGCGGAATAAAGGTTCCAACCACCAGGAGCATAAACAAATAAAAGCAAATATGATATAAACCTTAGTCATTTAAATAACTTGCTGCTGTCATTTTGCACATCTCTGATGTTGCTATTTTCAAATATCCATCACTGTAAAAATGGTCTCACAATGAATCCTGGGTTACCAAAGATAGGATAAAAATTACCCATCCTTCAAATCGGGCAAAAAGTAGGATACATTTGTAGGCCACAAAACGAGGAGTCTTGGAATCAGACCAGACCTCAGCGCCGCTGAAGGACGCAGCCCATAAATTCTTTTAATTCTACAGCCGTTTCTGCTCATCAGGCTTCCTGTTACATCAACAACCGCTTCGTCATCGACTCCGACATCCTTGCTTCAAACGGGATCATCCATGTCCTCCAGGGACCTCTAAAAGCTCCTCCTCGCCATCAAGAAGTGAGTGTTAATGTCGCCTTTGATTACATCTTAAACAGATCCGTTACTGGTTCTGATCTGGCCCTGCAGATGCAGGTGGCCCACCAGGCCGGGATGGGAGTGGGAGTGCTTCTTCTGATCCTCCTGCTGCTTGGTGTAGTCTTTGTTGGATATCGTTTCTGCAGCCACAGCAGCAAACCCTTCCAGTTCCACTACTTCAAGGCGAGTCAGATAAACTCATTTATTAGACATTTACATATTTGATCAGTTTTGATGCCGATTCCCTTTAGAACGTTTGCATTCAGCCCTTTGACCTTTACTCCTCTGTTCCTACAGGATGAGGACAACGAAGAAGAACCTGCAGCAGAAACTGCTAACTACAGCCGCAGCGTCTGTAACCCTGTTTATGAAGCTAGTTCGGAACCAGCCCCAACTTGGTCCGATGCATCTGGTTCTGCAGGGAGTCCACAGGCATCCGTTAAGGCTGAAGTGAGCTCTTGTTCCTTATTGATGCTCAGCTGTTAGAGCGACCAGATCGGGGTTAACGTGAGCATCTCTGCAGGTGGAAGACAGACATGAGGTGGTAAATGGAGGATCATATGACCTGCTGCAGGACGGCTGAGCCTGGGACCCCTCTACTGGATCAGAACCACCGAGATCAGCAGCAGAATAATTCCAAAAATGGTTTAACCTGAAGAATGGAGTCATTTCTGCAGAGTGGAGCCACCGGAGCGTGTTTAGGTGGCAGAACAAACTGATGGCCAGATGTTAAAGTTCTAAGTGTTTGTGGTTGTGTTTGAGTTCTGGGAATAAAATAGCTGATTGACAACCGAGTCACGAGTTTAATTCTTTTACATGAAATGCAAAAAAAAGATAAAAAATGGCATCAAACAGAGGTGGTTTTAGAGCCAAACCAGGTTTAATTTGTTAAGACAAAAAATGTTTCAGGGTTTGACTGAAAATAAATTTTATTGCTCCGTCACGTCGTCGATCCACGACCGGTAGTCTGGGAGTCCAGTAAAGATGGCCGGTTTGTCTGCTTTGCACCGCAAGCTGCCCCATGTGACCACGCCGAACAGGAAGTATGCGCCATGCTTCCGACAGAAAAGAGGAGCTCCAGAGTCTCCCTGCAGACAGAGAACAAGGGTCTGGTTTGATGGCATGGGTTTTTACCCAGTGGTACTGGTTAACTGTTGCTTTATGGTCTGAGGGACATTGTGCATCATGGCTGAGCTTCCTGCTGAGGCCCATAGTTACCATGCATGAAGCTGAGCCTGCAGGATCTGAACAGATGTGATCTTCGCCGATGAAGTCTCCCCACTTCTGAAGGCAGGTAGTTTGGTTGACCAAGGTCAGCGCAGCATGATGCAGAGAACTGGGATTTATGTTCTCTGAAACGAAGGAGAATTTGAGCAGGAAAAGGTTAATATTTTTAAGAACCTGGAGATTTCCCCTTTGGAACGGGTTCTCCATGTTCAGCGGTTAATGAAAAAAACAATTAAGGGCGGCGCCTTTCATGGCTGCAAAGCTTTGGACAGTGTCCAGGATCGGTTTTCCGAGGGTAGTGCAAATGGGGCTATAAAGTATTATTGATTTAGGAGGGGAAAAAAGCAAAGAGCTTTTGCACTTGGTAAAACGATTCAGAAATGGAATACAATCTTTTTAAACCATCTCCATTTTCTTATTTCAGGTGCAGTCAATATGAAAGAAATCCATGTTTTAGATCCAATATCCCAGCTCAGAACGAATTCTTTTAAACAGCTGCTTCCCCTCAGGGTTCAGTAAGAACCAACCAGAAACCCTGAACATCTCACCCTTGCAGATAAGCAGTAACCTCAGAACAGTTGGTTCCTGTGGGAACGAACCATTGGACCTTTGTCTCTGAAAGACTTATCAGAATAGTTACCATTTTACTGAACAGATCTACAGAACGTCAGGCGTTCTCCTGCTCTCTCTCACCTGTTGCTTCAGTTCTTCCCCATCCCGCTGTGAAACACAACCAGCTTTCATCCAGTTCCTCATCTTCCTCAGGGACACATATTGGAGACACTTTTGGACCTTGAGACAGAACCAAGGGACATTTTCACAGTATTGCAAGAGAGACTGGAGAGTGAGCCAACTGAATAACCTCTGTGCTGGTCTTTTATCATTGGGTTTTACAGGGAACTTGATCAGAGTTGTTGCAGGTTCTCTCCATCTGCGGAGATTCTTACCATATCTGGCCGAGACACTGAGGCGGAGCAGCGACAGGTCTGCCTGAGGAGGGAAGCCGGCTCCATGCATGGGGCTGAAGACCTCGTCCACCAGGATGGTTTGGCTTGACTTCTTACCCAAACCATGGACTCCAAGGACAGCTACATCTTCTTTGGCACTGTTCGGAAAACAAATCTGAGTGTTTCCTGCAGTGGAAGTCGAGGGCACCTTGTGAGCTGGCCAGAGGTTCACCTGACGCTGCAGTGTTTCGCTGTGACCACCCAGCGGTGGTGGATCAGAACTCCGCTGCAGTAGTGCTGCCCGTTGGACTGCAAGCTGACCATCCATGGCCAGAATGAAGGGCAGGCCTCAGTCACATTCTCCACACGGACCTTCCCTTTCTGTGAGACAGAGATCCAAGCGGTGGCTGGAGCCTGGTTACATCCGGAGGTCCGCTGCCTGCCACACCTCTCCTCTGTGGATCAAAGATGGGTGAGATTATTAGACATGCGACATGGATGGGTTCTGTAGAACCTCAAACATCTCTGCATTGAGGTGACATACCCTCCTGGGAAAGAACATCATCCAACAGCTCGTTTTCATCATCTAAGTTTGTGAGGACAAGATGTTAGTGGCCAAGACTTTGTTGGGTGAAAAAAAGCCACATTAATCCCAAGCTCACTCATTGCATCAGTGATCCACTGAACATGCTGCTGGACTTTGGTGTAGACTCCTGGTTTCTTTGCTCGACCGCAGCCAACTCCCCAACTAACCAGACCTGCCAACTCATGTCTGGTTCCATTGAAGCAGGACAGCGGACCTCCAGAGTCCCCCTTAGACCCAAATATAAGGTTTATTTAGAAGAGAACACTAAAGGTCTTCAATTTGACCCAATCCCATTTCATGATCACTCAGTCCATGCATTTGTTACTTCAAAGCTGGACTATTGTAATTCTTTACTATCAGGAAGTCCACAAACTGTAGTTAAAAGCCTTCAGCTGATCCAAAATGCTGCAGCCAGAGTTCTGATGAAAATGAAAAAGAGATCATATCTTTCCTATCCTGGCTTCTCTTCATTGGCTTCCTGTTAAATCCAGGATAGAATTTAAAATCCTCCTTCTCACATATAAAGCCTTAAATGGCCAAGCTCCATCTGATATCAGAGATCTGATTGTTCCTTATGTTCCTAACAGAGCACTTCGCTCTCAATCTGAAGGTTACTAGTGGTTCCTAGAATTTCTAAAAGTAGAATGGGAGGCAGATCTTTTAGTTATCAGGCTCCTCTCCTGTGGAACCAACTACCAGTTTTAGTCCGTGAGGCAGACACCCTGTCTACTTTTAAGGCTACGCTTAAAACATTCCTTTTTTTTAAAAGCATACAGTTAGAGTGGCTCAGGTTATCCTGAGCTATCTCTATAGTTATGCTGCTATAGGCTTAGACTGCTGGAGGACATAGGGACCCCTTTTTCATCAATCTATCTCTATTCTCCCATTCTACAGAACCTGTTATTTCTCTCTAGGATGGAGTCACAGCCAAACAGGAAAAGACAAAGCTACTATGAGAAAAAGCAGAGAGAGCAGAACGTTAGAGATCTAACTATCAGCTGTGCTGCTGCTATCAACACCTTTGTTTATAGATGTTGGAGATCAACCTCTCTTTCTCTGACTGGCTGGAGGTGCCCTCTTCATCCTCTGACATGGGAGCTGGCTCGGAGCTCTTGCCTGGCTGTGTGTTTCCTGGACAGGGCATTTTCTATCTCTGCTTCTGTCTCCTTGAACCCCAGGTTGCTTCCTGTTAAAAGGGAGATTTTCCTCTCCAAAAGTCCTTCTCCTGAAGGACCTTTGGCATTAGCCACTCTTTAGAAATCTTATCTCCACTATGTTTACCCTCACATGTAAGCACCAGCCCTGAGATGGGACTCAAATTCTAGATGACCAATCTGTAACCCTAACCCTCAGTCCAAAGACCCAACTATGCTGCTACCATGACTTCCCGTTGCACTTAAACCATCTAAAACCTTCCCTGACATCACATAATTTTCCTCAGACAATTTGACCGAATTGCAACAGCCATCAACCTGAATGAAAGAAAGCAAACCGATCTGGTTCTGACCTTTACCTCCACATCAAGAGGCCTGGTGATCATGCCAATTTCAATGCATAGCAACCAGCAACATCTGATTACCAATCAGAATCTTCAAGGATCCACTCATTCAATTCAATTCAGTTTATTTCTATAGCGCCAATTCACAACAAGTCATCTCAAGGCACCAGATCATATAGTCAGATTGATTCAAAATTTTCCATCTTAGGGAAATCAGTTGATTGCATCGACTTATTGACTCGAAGGCAATCCCTCACACCAACCATGCTTGTAGCAACAGTGGAGAGGAAAAACTCCCTTTGAACAGGAAGAAACCTCCAGCAGAACCAGACTCATAGTGAGCAGCCATTTGCTGAGGCCGACTGGGGTTCCAGGAGACAGAAGCAGAGATACAAAAAGAAGCAGTGATACAAAAGGCAACTATAAAAGGCAGCCCCACCCAGGAAACACAGCCAGGCAGACGAGCTCCGAGCCAGCTCCCATGACAAGAGGAAGAAGAGAGCACATCCAGCCAGTCATAGTCAGAAACAGGACTACACTGAAAAACAGGCCGATCTCCAACATTTATAAACAAAGGTGTTGATGCCAGCAGCACAAACTGATATTTCTCTCCAGGATGGAGTCACAGTCACACAGACGAGGCAAAGCTACTCTGAGATAAAGCAGAGAGAGCATAACGTTAGAGATTGAACTAACAGATTCTGCAGAGTGGGAGAATAGAATCATCCACATGTTCAACAGCTTATGTTACGCCCTTAGTGGATGGCCTGGATAGAAGAAACGCAATGGTACTAAGCATAAGGCCTTGTTGGACGCCACTACTCAGTTCTCAGGATTAGGAAAACACTTTCTTCTAGATCTCTGTTCAGTTCACATTGTCCATACAGCAGTACTCACCATAAATAACCAAAGGTGTTCTACAAGGACACATGGGTCTGTATTATGTCAAGGGCAGCCCAAATGTATTCCTTTTTCCAGTCCAAAATAAAGGACAGAACTGAGTTTTGATACAGACTGAGCAGAAATGACTTTGCTCAATAAGATCAACCATGGGTTCTATTTAACACACAACTGTCAGTATTTATAATCCAGAGAAGTATTAGAACAACCCCACAGACTGTTCAAAATAGGCTTCTGTTCATTTCTCTGTCTATGACAATTTAAGTCACAAAAGAACCATCCGGGAGTCTACCTGACATGCATCCACTCCGCCTTCATCCTTCCCGGCACAGAACATGGACGAGTGGACTCTGCCCTTGTAGTACTCATTACAATCATCCAACGCCAGGAGGCTGACGTTCACCTCTTGCAGTCTGTTAACTCGGGGACCATCTGCAGATAAAAGAAGGTTTAGAGTCTCCAGAACTATCTACCTGCTCTCCAGTGTCCTACAAATCCACCCTGAACAGACTCTCTCTTGTAGACCCCCAGCCGGTGATGGTGCACTTCATGGTCTCGGGCAGTGGGCTCATCCAGATGTCGATAGGTCTGACGAACTCGTTAAAAACCAAAGGATGCTCCAGCT